AGATAAGATATGGTGTACCTGTAAATGTTTTAAAATATTAGATTTTCATTAGATAAAGCATAGGTATTGAAAATATGGAACACATTGAGGTGTTTTGAATATGGCGTTCTTATTATTTTTTTTTTTTAATTTGAGTATGTATATGATTTTTTTATCGTTAAATTTTCGTAATTTTTCGACATGTAAGATTAATGACGCTCTGTAAAGTATTCCGTAGTAGACTAGATTTTCATTTCATAGAGAAAAGGTATTGTAAATGTGAAACACGTTGAGGTGTTTGAATTTTTATTATTAGAATATGTTTTCGACCAAATAATTTTTTGGATCCTCCATTTTCTGTGATGATGTTGATATTTTAGATCAATTACTTCTTTTTTCCGTAGAAGATTAAATGTGAATTATAAAAAAAAAAAAAATACCAGAAACGTGAGCTGAATAACAAAGGAACAATGGTTGAGCAAATGTAATTACAGTATCTGTTTGTTTAAAATGATTACATGATTTTCTTTTTATTTAAAATACTGTATATAATTTGAAATTTTAGTTACTTGACATTAACAAATTCAATGTCTGCTGAATTCCTGAATTGTACCTGCAAATTATATTCTGAGATATAAAACATAATTTATAAGCGTGAAATCATAAAGGTATACAGCATATTTAAAAGAAACACGCATCTTTATCTCTTTTACAAACTTTAATGATTTTTCAATACATAAAAGTATAATTATGATGATATACGTAATTTGAACCCAATTTTAAGACCTTAACAAGGATACACTTACCTAAGGTTCCCGTGGCAGGACCGGCGAGAAAGAGTTGATATTTTTCTGTTTCGTCGGAGACAGAGAATCGATCGTACATTTCATAAAACGTTTCTTCGTCCTCGAGAGTGATGGAAACAAACAGAGATGAGTTCTTCCCCTTTGTTAACAGATGGATTACGTCATTTCCTGTATTAAGAAATATTTGAAATCGGATGAAAAGTCCATTGCGATACAAATAATTCTATTTAAAATATAAAGCTACATTCATGAAAAATGAAATTATTTTCCTTAGCTGTACAATACTGCTTAATTAAGTCTCATAAAAAGTGCTCCAAAATGATTTTCTTCTCTTCTTTTTTTTCTAATATTTGAGATATCAATTAAACACGATATGCGAATGTTGTAGAACACATATTTATCTAGTCTTGAACTCAGATAATTATTGCGGTTTAATTGTTTTACCTGTCACAAGAATTTGTTTTTTCAAACTTTGAAGGAATAAAAAGTTCCGATTTCAGAGTGGTTAACACTTACCAACCCAGACTTCCTGTTCAGGTGAACCAAAATCATTTTTATATTCCCTCCAGGTCCTGTCAAAGCTCACAGATCCGTCTACGCGTTTCTGAATGGCCTTCCAAAATTAACATGTATAACCATTCAATTTATTGCTTCGAACAAAAAAATTCACATTCCTTATATCCTACAATCCTTAAAAAACAATAACAATGTGAGTTTTATCATGAAATTTTAATTTTAAGATAAACTACATACCGTCCATCCCCCGCCCATTGTGGTCATATCGCAATAGACACGGACAGGAATGATCAAGGTACCGTAGGGGTATATATCATACACCCCTGTACTAGTTTGATTGTCTTCGCGAAGATCCTTACAATCTTTTGGCACTGCAACAAAATCTTAAATAAAAAATCAGAATCATACAATGTATATTTACAAGAAGTTAGAGGATATATAATGCTTGCATATATAAATGTTAATTGTTAAAGCCCAAATGTTAACTACAAGTACAATGCAGATTATGTTAAACTGGTACCCATTATCTAAAATCATTTTTGTTTTCTAATTTTTACAAATCACTGATTTTTTTACATGATTAAAGGTATTTAAAATTTAATACAATTATTTATAATATAATAAATTATCTGTTTATTGAAAGAAATGTTAAAGATGAATGCATTTGTAGATCGGATGATAAACCATAAGGAGAATAAAATAGCTGTTGAAAAATCTAGTTACAGATTGTAAGGCTTTTATTTTCAAATGAATTATCCACAAACTTTCCATTTTCCAGATCAGGGGACACACGTTGAATCTGACCGGTAGACAAAGGATGTTTACTCTTCCATGGCACAGGATTCACATCTCAGCTTTCAAGAAAGCAATTTCGAGGAACTAGCTTAAAGTGAGTTTTTTTGTTGTTGATCTAGTTAATTACAAGCTTTAATTTACTAATGGATTAGAAAAATAATTGTCAAAAACCTGAAATGAATATTATTACTAAATACTCTCGGTGTAAGAATTTTATTTCATGTTTTCCATTATATACTAATAGATAGTAAGAATAGAGAAAATAGAGAATAGAGAAAATCACAAATAATAGTTCAAATAATACCAAATTGATCATTGATTTAAAAAAAATAAAAGAAAAAGTATACAGAGAGAAAAAAATATTATAAGAATCAATTATATTGAAAATAGTCTATTCCACTTTAAAAGAAATGCCAAAGAAAAAATATCGTTACGTGTCGAGAGGGAACTTAAAAACCAAAATAGCAAACAGATATTAAAAAAAAAATAACAAATATACATACCGCTATCCGAGTAGTATTTCCAACTGACCTCCTCAGAGAGCTCAGACGTGAATAGTTTCTTGTGGGTACGACATTTCTTCATTTGACTGTTGAATCCAAATAAGACGCACTCCCTTTGACACATCGCTGCACATTCGGTCAATGAATGAGTAAAAGTTCATATTTTGATTTCGAATTCCTATCATTGAATTCCAGTTTCGCCGAATATTTTTGAGAAATAATGGTCGCTTTAGATAAAGCTATGAAGCCAACCATTAAAGAAATAACCCACTGATTGCCCATTTTTTACTTTATATTTTTACAAATGCTCAAAAATGATTTTCTTCTCTTCAACTATCACGATCAGCCAGGAGCATATGAAATCTTACTAATCACTCTAAATTCAAAGAAGATGCTTGAGTTTCTCATTGACAATATCTATGTGTTTTTGGAGACCAGGCCTTCCAACAATTTATTGGAATTTCCAAGGGAACCAATTTCGCTCCGTTATTAGCAGACCTATTTTTATATTCATCTGAAACAGAATTTATGCAAAATCTTATGAGTGAAAAAAAGAAAACACTTACAGTGGCCTTGAACTCTTCCTTCAGATATATCGATATATTGTCAATTAATAATGGTATTTTTCATTTCTACGTCAATAGGATATATCCAGGAGAGCTCGAGATAAAAGATACCACAGAGTTTGACACATCTGTTTCATACTTGGATATTGTACTTGAAAAAGACGTTAGTGGTAACCTAACAAACAAGTTATATGATAAACATGACGACTTTAATTTTTCTATCGTAAACTTCCCTTACTTATGCAGACTAAATCACATGCATACGGAATGTATATATTTTGGTTAATTCGATACGCAAGAGCATGCTCTACGTATGAACAATTTCTAAAACGAGGTAAATTATTAACAAACAAGTTGATAAAACAAGAAAATCAGCAGTCTCGTTCATAGTCATCATTTCGTAAGTTCTATGGTCGATACAATGCCCTTGTCAGCAAATAGAATTTATCATTGAGTCAAATGCTGACTGACGTTTTTCATAAAAAAAATTGTTAATCCATTATTTATACACTGAATTGACGATGTATTTTCCCGTTATTTCTCATGACAAGGAACACACAGCGGATGTGACTGGTCGGCAGGAGATGCTCACTCCTCCATGGCACCTGATCCCACCTCTGATGTTTCGGGGGTCCGTGTTTGCTCTGCTGTTATTTTGTACTGTTTTATGGACTTTGAAATTGAATACTGTTCGTTATCTCCATATCTTTGTTTCCTGGGTGAAATACTTAAAATGTGTGAAATTTCATAAATATCGGTGACCATGCGTGTCGACAAATTTTAAGTGGTTACATAGAATGGCTCTTAACATGTTGGTTTCGTATGCACAAATTTATAAGGGGTGTGAGTATATTTTTTTCAAACTGTAAAATGTAAACTTTCCACTAAGTGAAAACAGCGAATACTACGAGTAATATGTGTACGTTTAATCACTAAAGCATGACAAACGTGTGTCCTAACCCGTAATTTTTCTCTACTCGTCCGCTTTTATAATAACATTGTAAATACTTACAAAAAATTGACATGAGAAATATATGGGTGCAATCACCGGTCCCGAGAAAACTATCCTGATACGGTAAGTTCGTGCGAGTTACATGTACGTTTGTTCGTAAGATGTTGGTGTTTCTCTAATTAGAGGCAATAAGTGAGGTAAAATGTACCAGGGTATTTAACAGTTCTTAAACAAGAATGGGTCTCTTCATATTCTTGTCTATACATTGTAGTTCGTTTAAATCGTGTCAGTTCTTATATTATCTGTACCTGTAGTAGCTAGCAATGACTGCATCTCAATTAAAAACGGTGTATTATTTATCATGTACATGTAATAAAGTGATTAAATAAGTACATAATTTAAAATAAGATGGAATTTTAATTAGTTTTTAAACCTTAAACTGGAAGTGAGCTATGCATTAAAAATTTGCATAAAATTGATTTACAATGCACTATTTACATAGAAGTGCGCGTTCTAACTTATATCCATATAAACTATTAATTTCTTCTACACCCTAATTTCAGGCAATTAAATTAAATCAAGCCTTCTAATTATAGTTTTGCACCATGCTGAGAACTATCAGTATCAATTAGAATGTTCTCCTGGGCTGTCTCTTTAACATCTGTACTTGTACTGTACTCTATACTTGTATTATATGAATGTAAATAATTCTAGAGGAAGGGCAGTTTGTGTGTATTATGTATGTATATTTTTTTGGCATTAAATATTTTTGTTTTTTTTCTCTAACTAAATGTAAATTGAAAAGAACAATTTCATTTTAAGCATCAAACTTAACTCATTCGTATTTTTTTTTTAATTCTTTATTAATTATAAATTTGACCGATTTTATCCCAGTATGTTTAAATACCCAGAGGGTAGATTTGATGTTGGCGACAAAGGTATGGACGATGGACGTTTTGCCAAACCATAAATAGTGATATTTCCAGATAGAGTTCCTGCAAGTAAAATAAATCCCTGTTAGTCGCTCAATTTATCATGAACTTTTGATCAAATTACTGCTGCTAAGCATGAATCATTGGAACATTCAAACAAATTATTTTTAAAAGGTAATATAAACATACATCTTTTGAAAATACGTAAAAGTACAAGATGACATTATTTCCTTTAAAATTTATTTTCAAAACGGAATGACATATAATCAAAAGAAACTCACTCTAACACTGGAACCCCTGATCCTTAAGCTATAAAATACACAGTTTGGGAAGAGACATCCCTGCACATTATAAGTATGTACTTAGTTTGTTTATTTAATACCAAGGAGCAGAGAGAAAAAAAAATCAAAGGAATAATACATTTTCACTGTATATTCAATAGAGCCCCGCCCTAGCAGTAGAACCCCTTGACCCTGGTGCCATCAATTTAATTCACAATTGTGGTAGAAGACTAAATGCTCATTACATTCATGCAAACAATTTGACTGTTTGATGTCCAGGAGTAAAGAAGAGTTTTTTAAGATTGCATGAATTTTAGTGGTTTTGTCCCCACAGAAATTTACAATTTGTGTTGCCTTTCACCCATAATTGCTTCAAACAAATGTGGTTGAAATCGGTTAAGTGCTTTCTGAGAAGAATCTAAATATGTTCAAATGTAAACACACGACACACAATATACGACGCACAACACACGACGACGGACGAAAACGGAAAGCAATAGGTCATTTGAGTTTACTCAGGTCACCTAAAAATGTTTATCTTAACAGATGACCTAAAAATAGACCAGAGAAAATGCAGATCAGCATAACATTTTATTTGACTCACGACCATATCACTTTTTCCCCTCTGAAAATTAGCTTAATATATTTTATTCGAAATAAAGTTATGAAAAAATAAGTATAAAATTACTCTTTGTGATATGTGTTTGGTTTATGACCATTTTTGTTGTCAAGGTTTAGAAAAATAGACGTTTTTTTTTAAAAGGCTGAGGAAATTCAGGCTGTTATGGAATGTTGTTGAAATAATATCTGTGTGTAAATAATGACATGATAATGTTGATCTGTTACCCAATTTTTCTCATGAAAATAAATGAATTCTGATTATAATTGTAAAATTTTTGTTCCTTTTCCTTTCTTTTACTGGTAATTTCTTTACAGATTTTAACTACCTTTTTGCTTAAAAAGTTCTGCTAGTATCCCAATGTCCTGTCAGTAAGATATTTATTCGTACAAAATCTTATCCGATGTTTTTATTTTATTTATATATATGAAACGAGATTGTTTGCAAAACGATGCTAGTTCGGGATTCTAGCAGAACTTTCTGTACAAATCTTCTGTTTTGAAATGTCCAGCTTATTGACATTCTGTTGAATTATTGTTGTCACGAATGACAGGGGAAAGGCCGACCTGGAAACCTGTATAACTTATCACAGGTGATCTCAATTTCCATCTTGATTATCCTAATGACAAAGATGCTAAAACTTTACAGAACTTTTAAGGGAACGTGGATTAACACAGCATATTTCTGATGCGACACATCGTCTTGGCCATACATTAGATGTGTTGATAACCAGAGAAGATAGTCCTATATTACAGGGAACACCATTTGTAGCAGATCCTGGTATATGCGACAATAATGGCAACAGAAGTGGTGACCACCTCGCAATTCGCACTTTACTGCGTTTGTCCAAAGCTCTGAGAGAGAGAAGAACGGTAACCTTTCGGAAAATTCAGGACATCAACATAGGCAGTTTCAAACACGATCTTGATTTTTCAAACGTGACTTACAAGGAAGCATCTGTTGAAAAGCTTACCATTCACTACAATAGAGTTCTAACTGCTACCATTGATGTTCATGCCCCTCAGAAATCAAAGGAGATCGTTATACGACCGAATACTCCTTGGTTTACGGATGATCTTTATTCTGCTAAGAGAGATCGCCGAAGGGCTGAACGAACTATGAGAAGAACAAACCTAGCAGTCCACAAGGACATTTTCAATCAGAAATGTATGCAGGTTACAAAACTCATACAACACTGTAAAAGTAAGTTTTGTATAAACAAAATTCAGGAAATAGGCAGCGACTCCAAACAGCTTTTTAAACTTACCAACAATCTTATGGGAAACACAAATTTATCAGTGCTGCCAGAGCATGACAGCGAAATCGATCTCGCATCCAAATTTGGTGAATTTTTTATCGGTAAAATTCAGAAAATCAGAGAAAACCTTTGTTCCTTGACTGAGTTTCCTACCATGGATGTTGTCCTTCGAGCTGACATCAAGTTTGATGGCATTCCTCTGGAAGCGTTTGAACCAGTGTCGATTGCTGAGGTATGTGACATTATCGGCGATGCACCAACGAAGTCTTGCGAGTTAGATCCAATACCCACAAGTGTTTTGAAACAATGTTTGGAGAGTGTTTTGCCAATCATCACTGAAATTATCAACAAATCCTTCTCAGAAGCGTCAGTACCATTGGATTTCAAAAAGGCTATAGTACGTCCCTTGATTAAGCGCCAAGGACTTGACAAAGATGAATTCAAAAATTACAGACCTGTTTCAAATTTGCCATTTTTATCTAAAGTATTAGAAAAAGCGGTGGCATCTCGACTCCAAAAACACCTAAACGCTTACCAGCTTCATGATAACGTGCAGTCGGCCTACCGAAGTAGTCATTCTACAGAAACAAGGACTCTACAAAGCCCTGCTACGGGTGCACCATGATATCACCTCTGCATTGAATAAGAATTCATGCGTTACTCTCGTAATGCTAGATCTCTCAGCTGCATTCGATGTGATTGATCATGATATACTAATCAGTCGCATCGAATACGCGTTTGGAATCACAGGATCGGCGCTTTCATGGATAAAGTCTTATTTATCTGGTCGAAGTCAACAAATTGCTGTAGGTTCGACATTCTCGAGAGAGTTCTTACTCCAGTTTGGTGTACCACAAGGGTCTGTTTTAGGACCTCGTCTATATTGTATGTTTTCCAAACCCATCGGAGAAATTTGCCGGAGACATAACATGTACTACCATTGTTATGCTGATGACACACAGGTTTACCTGATTATTAACCCGAAGGACAGTTGGGACGACATTGCGAATAGACTTGAACGGTGTTTGTCTGATATACAAGACTGGATGCAAAACATCCTTAAGTTAAAACAGGCTAAGACTGAACTCATCATCTTTACATCGAAACGTATGGCAAATGAATTTGCTGGACGTAAACTCGCTTTTGGTGGATCAGTCATCAGTAATGCTTCCTGTGTAAAAAATCTCGGGGTATTTTTCGACAGCAAACTAAGCATGGACTGCCAAATCAATTCGGTTACAAGATCCTGTTACTTCCATCTTCGTAACATCGGTAGAATAAGATCACTCATAACAGAGGATGCTTGCAGGACACTCGTTAGATCTTTAGTGACATCTAGACTCGATTATGGCAATGCACTATTGTTTGGCCTCAATGCCACATCCTTGCGAAAGTTGCAGAAAGTTCAGAACACTGCAGCCAGACTGGTGACACGTTTGAGAAAACATGAGCTTATAACACCAATTCTCATAAATCTTCACTGGCTACCTGTGGCATACCGTGCACAATATAAAATTCTGTTGTACACTTTCAAGGACTTACAGAAGCTAGCCCCGGAATACATCCAGGAACTTGTTCAGGTCTATCGCCCACAACGTTCACTACGGTCTGGGGATTCACTGAGCCTTCTTAAACCACGCACCCGAAGTAAGATGTATGGAGATAGGAGGTTTGATTTATCTTCAGCCACCCTGTGGAACTGCCTCCCGCTGGATCTTCGGAAAGAACAGTCACTTGACGTTTTTAAAGGAAACCTAAAAACACATCTTTTTAGACTCGCCTTTAGCTTATAAGGCTCTAGTCACAATGGACCATCCAGTTGGTTTTATTTAAAAAAAAAAAAATGCCCTATGATTTTACCTTTTTGCTTTTTTATATTGTACCCTTCCTTTGTTTTATATTGTAATTGTTTTCTACGTGTAAAGCGCTTTAGGGTAATTCCATAATTATATAGGGCGCTATGTAAAAGTAGAATAATAATAATAATAATAATAATAACTGACTGCCTCCGAAATACGCGTAGTATGCAATCGATGAAAATAAATTAGCATACCTTTTTAATAAGCCAAAAACCATATGAATTTCACAAAATATTTACAATATTTGCTTTAAGCTCCATTTAAGTATATTTGTACATGCCGTTTTAGCCAATTTTTTTACACGACATGATCAATCCCCAGGTTACTTAATGTACACATATGACGTCATCGGTGGTAGATTTTTATCTTTTAAGATACGGGAAACAAAAAAAAAACATTTTATTTTTGTTATTTTTTTTTTACACATTTCTTATCGTTTTCTAGAGTTAAATTACATTTCTTTATACCAATATTACGAAACTCATTCTTCATGCTTCTTTATTACCCCTGCGCATTTTTCAACAAGGGTATACTAAGAGGTTGTTGCCATGGGAACCAATGCATTAACATATATTTTTTTATGATTCTTAAACCAGAAACTTGTCCTTTATATGAAAGTTCTTATCTTTTAAATTTCAAATTATTTTACTTTCACAACAGATTTGAATCACCTTAATTTGTATAATGTAAGAGCCAATAGCGGACAGAGGTTATATAATAATTGAAATGATTAAATGTTTCTCACCACAATATCCACAGGAGGCTTTGCAGTTATAATTCATAAACTGCTCAGTGCCTGGTGAATTGCATTGAAACCTGGCAACATATTCTGGACATCTGGGAGTTCTGTCATCGCATTGATCTATAAGAATATGATTCCATAAAAAGCGAAACGTAAATAACCGAAAAAGAAACGACTTTTGAGATTTTTTTTAATTTTGTTTTGTAAAAATACTTAAATCGTTTGAAAAGTACAAAAACATGCTTCATTAGTAAATTATATCAATAATTTAAAAATATTTCTAAAACAAAATTACCGTTATACTTGAAGCGCCATATTGTTCCAAGTGGGTTTTCTCCCCAAAACTTGACTGACATAACTTCAACTGTTAGATGTGTGCTCTTGTCAAGAATTCTTCCTGGTAACAAGATTGATGACGTGTTGTATGAATTTACGATGGATATTTCCCATTTTCCAGCAGTCAGCGAGTCTACATTAACAGCAGTCATTACGTGTTCCAAATATGTTATCGAACAGTCTTGTGGGACACGAAATTCAAGCATATTCCTGTGTAAAAAAATAATGATGATTATTTTTTTATTTTATTTATTTTTTTAGAATTTTGATCTTATTGCTTCACTACATAAATGAAAATATTGAAGAATCATATATTTATTAAATAAATTGGAGGTTTTTTTAATACAAGGATAACGAATATGAAGTGAAATAAAAAAAAAAGAACTTTCAGAAACAGGAGTTCATTTGACTTTTTTTTCATCCTCAAATTTTGTGAGGGTTATATTATGAATTCAGAAGATAAATAGAAATGTCTCATTAAATCATCTAAATTTAAAAAAAATTCAAAAATTATGTATCATATACCCGTTAACATGCTCGAGTGAACAAATCACACGTTCTTCAACATTCTTCCAGGTCTTTGCTTTTGTAACAAATCTTTGTACATCAAGTACTCCAAATCCAAAAGATAAAGAAACTGAAAGGTTTGTATATCAAGGAATTGATGATTTAATATTTACTAACTTAAATTGTTAAAAGGGCTTTTATAACATTTTTTTTATAGTTTCATAAATTTACACAAAAAACCGAATGCAGTATAATACCTTATTATAAATAATGTGTTTAACAAGTTGTTGCTTTTTAAAGAGAATTCTATGAAAAATTCATGAAGGTTCAGTCATAATTAAAACTTAAACATTCAAGTTTATGGAGCTATACAATTCTAGTTTTAATAGACCAAATACAAACACGTCTCTCTGTCTGTCTGTCTGCCTTTATACTGTATATTTGTTGTAACAGCTGCATTTTGTTTTGATATTACCTTTAAATCCAGCATGGTTTCTTTCAAAATCAGATGGTGCGAATCCTGCATGGAAATCCTCATCGTTTCTTCCCGATATGGAGAGGAGATGCATTACATCTCGATATGATAATCGATTACTGTAATTAACATTTAAA